TTGTGCTGAACACTGGAATTTGACACAACACTGTAAAATGATTATGAATCAATAAAAAATGTAAAAAAAAAATTGTCAGTCAAGGATGCTGCTTCCCATAAGGATGGAGTAGCTTGTTTTGGACCGATCCTCAGCTTTTTCCTAGAATGGTACTCTAGAGCTGTGCTGATGAACGTGGTAGCCACTAGCCAGTCCAAATCAAAATATGCTGTAAATGTAAAATGTGTACCAGATTTCAAAGATTTGGTATGGAGATTGTAAAATATCTTTGGTTACATGTTGAAATAATGATATTTTTGGATACATTGGGTCATTGTATCCAAATACATGGATTACATGTTGAAATAGTTATATTTTTGATACATTGGGTCACATAAAATATATTATTATTCTTTATTAATATATTAAAGTCACCTGTTCCTTTTACTTTTTTAATGTGAATAGTAGAAAATTAAAATTACATATGTGGCTCACATTTTATTTCTATTGAACAGCACTGCTATAGATTAACATAGCATTCACAATGCTCAGAATACAATCCAAAATTACTAGACATACAAAGAAACAGAAAAATATGACCCATACTCGAGAGACAAGGCAATTGATGGACACTGACTCCAAGATTACATATAGGTTGGGATTAGCAGACAAGAGTTTCAAAGCAGCTGTTATAATTATGCTCAAAGATGTAAGGAAAAATATGACCGTAATCAGTGAGCATATATGAAATTTTATCAGACAAAAAGACACTCTGCTGAAAAAGAACCAAATTTTAGAACTGAAAAAGACCATATCTAAAATGTTTTTTAAAAATCACTTGATGGGTCTAACAGATTGGAGATAATGGAAAAAAAGATCAGTAAACTTGAAGATGGAGGAATAGAAATTTTCCAGTCTGGAAAATGGAAAGAAAAGACTGTGGTGATGACAGAAACTCAAGTGACCTGTGGAGCAGTGTCAGCCATTTTAACATAAGTATAATTGGAGTCACAGAGGGAGATGAGAGGGAGAATGGAGCAGAAAATCAAGCTGACAACAATCAAGAATTCCCCAGATTTAGTAAAAGATGGATTAGAGGTCTTGAGTATTTCACCTAGATTCCAGGTGAATTCAAAGCTCCATAGCAAAGTCCTCTGACCATTATACCAAGTGGACCAGTGTAGCACCTTTATGATTTTGCCACCCATAGATTTTCCAGGAGAGGACTCTGTTGCACTACAAAATTAACCAGAAAATTGTGTAGGAAAACACCTGCAAAAAAGTCACATGAACAAGCATGAGTTAACAAGGGTGCAAACTCTATATATTGTTGCTACAGAGCTGCTGTAAGCCTGGAGGACATCGAGCTTGTGTGTGCTCACAGAGCCCAGCCCTGCAGTCTCACCATGTTCGAACACGAGTTCAAGCCAAACACCCTTTAGATGAAAAGCAACTTCAGAAGCACATTCTTAGTGTCTTCTTAGGACAAGGATCAGCAAACTTTTTCTGTAAAGGGCTAAATAGAAAAATTTTTTGCTTTGTGGGTTACATACAATCTCTGCTATCTGTTTTTTGTTTGTTTGTTTGTTTTATAACCGCTTTAAACATGTAAAAAAACCGTTCTTAGCTCCTAGGCTGTGCAGGCCGCAGGCTGGACTTGGCCCATGAGTGCTGGCTTGCTGGCACTGCCTTAGGTTACTCCCTACCCTTGTTTTGCCCACTGAGATGTTGGGACCACAGCCTGAGCATGAGCCCGAACTCTGCAGGTACCGCCTCAGGGAAGGCATCCTCTCATTATACAAAGGGGGGGACATTGTTATACGGAATGACTTTTTATCACCCAATTATTCAGTACTGTTTTTAAAACTATCCAGCATGACCCTGGTACACAGTACAGCCAGTAATTTCATTCATTCAACCTGTGTTTATGGGGCATCTTCTCAGTCACCAGGACATGTTCTAGGTACCAAGGTATTTAGAGGTGAGAAGACAGGCAAGCTCTCTGCTCTCAGGTAACTTAATAAATGTTAGGTTCTTCCCTCCCGCCACTTTCCCCTTTCTGTCCCGTCCCCTTTCATTTCCTTCCCGACTCTGTAAAATCATGCAGATTAGCCTTAAAGGATGAATGGCATTTCCAAAAGCAGAGGAGAAAATAAATTTGGTAAAAGACAAGTCAGCACCTGGAATTTGCCTCAGAGCCTAGAAATGACATGTCTGGGTGCCTGCTTTATAGTCTGATTTTATTTACTCATTTGTTTATTTGTGTATTTTGAACCAACTGACTTGATACTGTTCCTTGAAGTGGACACATGAAAATGAAAGAGCATGACTCATCAAAGAGTCTTTATTGCTTGGCTAAAGAAATGTGTGCTCTTATAGATTTTAAAATTATTGCAGATGCTAGTTTTACTTATTTACAAACACATGCACAGTACACCTATATGTATATGTATGATGTGCAGATATTGTGTATATACATATGCACACACGATAATTTGAACCATTGCATAGCACAATCTAGTTGTCATGAGTATTTCTTAAAAACATACAATCATATGGACTTGGGTTAGTAAGTGAAGCAAAGTGAAGAGATTGACCTTAAAAAATGAGTGCTAGACAATCGGAAAGAGATGTAATTCATAAGTAAAAGCTGAACTTGAGTCACGGGGTGGTGTTTGGGGAAGTTAATTACAGGCCCTGGAGGAAAAAAAAAGGCTGCTTCAGAGGATGGGGGTGGGCATGATGGGAAAACAGAGCCTGTAACCTGGAAGAGGAGCCCAAGAAGCCAGCGGTGTAAACTTGATTGAAGAAGCCAGAATGCAGCCGGCTGTTGAATCTGGCGAGGTGCGAGAGCCTTTCTATATTATTGTTACTCTTTGACCTTTAAAACAACAGAGATGGTTGTCTTTTTCCCTTGTTTTTCTTTATTCCCCCTGATCTCCCTTTCATTTTCTTCAACCCTTTTTTTTTTCTTTTCCGCTGAGTTCCCGACAGTTTTCCC